GGCAACTTCAACCCTACATTAAAAAACCACTTTTACACTATAAATTATACTATAATGCTCCAACTCTATATTATACCTAACACTATATATAGTATTGGATTTTAGTGTAACACTATATATAGTGTTGGATTTTAATGTAGCACTAAATATAGTGTTGAATAAAGAACAATATACTTAAAATATTCTTTTTAGTGTTAAATATAATGTAATGGGTTGGAGGACTTTAGTATATATACTATCTTTTACACTATAATTATAGGTATAGTGTAAAAAAATAGTGTTAAGGGTTGGAGATGGTCTTAACCTTTGTCTTTCGGTTTTTAAAGAATCCAATGAAAAACAAATATTATTTTTATGAATGGATGGGTCCAGATATTCAAAAGAAGTGGTATTATGGCACACTAGTTGATCAAATAACAAGGTAAAGTCGAAGAAAAACAATGATAAAAAGCTTGTGATTTTGCACTGAAAGTAGTTGCATTGGAAAATGAGATGAACAATTACAAGATGAAGATGGATTAGGAGGAAAGCTTTGGGTGTTGGATAAGAACTGGACCAGATGAAAAGGAAGTTAACTCACAAATGTGCACTGGTTGTGTTACTAGGTATGTTTAAGCTTAGTTTAATGGACATATATGAATCACATGTATAGCATTTTGCTTATTGACCTTTTTATTAAAACGTCGTTACTAATTTATTTTTGCAAAAGTAACAATAATCGTTTTCTATAATGTTGTTTAATGGACATATATGAAACGAGAAAAACATCATTTGCATATATCAAAAGTTGTCAAAAGAGGTATCATTTGAACATACGTCACAAACATAAAAAACAAAAGACTAATTGTTTATCTTAACCGTCAAGTCCACTAGTTTGTGTTAAATGTTTTCACTTCTATCTTTTGCTACCATTTGATGAAACCAAGGTTTTGAAAACCGGCCGCCATGGTGGCCAATTCGACTGGTCAACCGGTCCAAAAACCCAAAAAACGGATGACATCGTTATCACATCATTATTGTATTTAAAATTATAAAATATTCAAAAAAAATGCAAAAATAAACTACACAACAAAAATACCAATAAATATAAGTCTTCACTATTGAATAAAAATATCAAACATACAAATTTCCATAAAAATAATTCACATCTTAATTCTAGCCTTCGAAAAAAAAAAGTTCACAACATCAAGATCAAAATACCATGAAATGTGTCAAAATCCAAACATTATAACATTTTAATTTTCATCTGAAGGAATCTATGTCAATGTCTTCTAACACAACTCCATCATCATCTTCAATATTAAATAGAAATTTAATTTTAGCAAAACTTAAACTCAAATACAAGAATAACAATAATGTTATTGATATAATAACATAAAATCTAACATAAATCTAACCTTGAGAATCTTGAGATTCAAAATTTGTTGATTCATTGTAGTTTGGTGACTCTTCTTCAACTATATTCTCCAATTCATTATAACTTAGTTCACCTTCCGGTGTTTAATCAGCCACCCAAAAACCGATTCTATCAATGTTTTCATAATCGATCGGATCATAAGATTTTTTGTTATCCTTAACCCTAGAAAAAATTATTAATATACTTTTAAATATAAGTGAAAAAAAAATGAAAGTATAAGTTACCTATTTTGTAGACACAAATTATAATAAGCATAATCAAGGTCATGAAGCATTTCATGCTCCAACCGATTCCTTTTTTTTAATGTGGATTCCATCGATAACACTCCAATTCCGCTTACCCAAAAGAAGAAACAGTTTGGCTTTAAATTCGAATTGCAAAATTTTACAATTCTGAAACATCTCCACCATTTAATTTCTACGATTCATCTAATGGAAAATAACAAAATAATATTATAATATTTTTTCTATAACTCACAATTAATAAAAAATTGAAAAACGTTACCTAGACGAGTTGTATTGCCAGAAGGAAACAAGTGTTCTACCAAAACTACCTTCATTCTCACAAAAGAAGTTTAGTCTGCCCATGAGAGTTAGACCATAGGCATTACCGTAATGCTCAATCATTCATATCAATAACCATCAGTACCACCTGTGGTTTCTTACAAAATCTTTTTTTATCGTATTGAAAGACTGGATTGAACCAATAAACAACATGAAGTATCATTATTTGTCCGAGTGCCACTTATTTTGGTAGTGCATTTATCGCATTGAAGAGTTTGTGTAATCACAAGATGATTTGCAAGCTATGGTCACCTTCTTGAATTATTAAAAAAAAAATGATTACATTGGAAAAAAAAACAAAAGAAATTAAGCTTATCATATTGAATGAAAGCTTTTGGAATTATTGTGCTATCATAGTAAAGGTGATGACTTCAATATTAAGATTTTTACGGATTTGTGATTCAAGTGAGAAACTGCTTTAGTATAATTTTTTTTATATTCTTTAATGACGTTTACAAATATATTATCATTCTTATCAATTTTAATGATGTTTTTTTAGGTATAGGGGGGAATGAATTAAGAAATTCTTTCGCAACAACAAAGTGTTGTACGACCCTTATACCAACATCATTAAAAATCGTTGGGATAGGATGTGGGTAAGAGTCTTCATGCTACTGCTTATTGGTTGAATCCAATCTTTCAATACGATCAATAAAGTTTTTGTAAGAAACCAAAGGTGGTTGCAGCCGTTATTGATATGATTGAGTGTTACAGTAGTGTTTGTACTATCAATTGTCTAACTTTCATGGGCACCTAAACTATATTTAAAGTTCAAGATTTCTTCATCATATCTGTACTATCAATTGTCTAACTTTCATGGGCACCTAAACTATATTTAAAGTTCAAGATTTCTTCATCATATCGATTTCTTCTAGAGGTTGATTACAAAGATTTAAGGTTCTTAGCATAGATATAGGGAAAGAGGTTGGGGTTTGATTTTGGTTTATAGATTAGGGTGAAGACGAAGGCGAGAGTGGATTAAAAATAAGGGGATGAAAGGTAGAGGAAGTTGGGTAAATGGAAAGGGGAGGATGGAAAATTATGGATATTTATTTTATTTTCTTATTTTTTTATAAATAAATAAATTAATTATATATATATATTATAGGTAAAATAGTCTTTTTTATGTTTGGAGAGATGAAGTGTGCACGTTTTAAACAAAACAAGAAATGGTACAAGTTAATTTTTAAAAATAAAGATTGAACATGTCTTTTAGCAGCCACACAAGGATGATTCGTGTAATTTACTCTTGATATTTTTATTCAACAGTGAAGACTTATGTTTATTGGTATTTTTGTTTTGTAGTTTATTTTTGTATCTTTTTTCGAATATTTTATAATTTTAAATAAAATAATGACATCATCCGGTGTTTTTCGTACTCGCCCGTTCAACTCTGACCATTTGAACCGGTTGACCCATCAAACCTGAACCCGATTGACCTATCGAACCGCTATGGCGGCCAATTCTATGGCCAGTCCGGTTTTCAAAGCCTTGATTACAAAACACACTAATCTACAATCTAACTATCATAACTCATAAGCCTAACAAACTTTCACCTAAAAACTAACTAATCAATCAACATTCGGAAGATATAAACTGAAAATAGAGAAAGAGAAACAATGATAAACAAAATCGCAACTCACCTGTGGAGTGTGGTCGAAAAATTGCAGCTCCACCGGCTCACCTGTGGCTGTGGAGTTCACCGGTAGTGTACAAGAAATCGATTAACTGTGGGCCAGTGGCTTCGAGAATTGAGTGATGACGATGAAGGCGTCGAACACATGTTTAGCGTTTAGCGAAGGAGACAGAACTGGAAAGCAAAAGGAAAAGGAGTCGACTTCATTAGGTTTTGATGTTAGCGATTGCAATTTGGGATTGGGTATTGTATTGTTGATATCAAAATTTTCCAAAAGCCGGTTCTGTAGACGGGTCGAACCACGGTTCACAGAAAACCACCAGTTTTTTACGGTTCGACATACTAGTGGTTTTCAGAGGCAATGTTATGGTGTTTTTTTCAGAGTTTTTTTTTTTCACAGAGGAATTGAGCGGTTTGAAAATAAGCAAAGAGAAACAAAAACAATTCAAGAAAAAGAAATCAAACACAATATTTGATCTTTCATCTTGATGATGAGTTAGTCTTCAGTGATCCACACATTGTTTTTGCAACTAAAGAACATAAAAACTAAGAGTTTTGTCAAAACGATTTAATAAACAAATCAAAACATTGGTGGAATAGAAACTGAAGGCAAAGATTGAGATCTGCATCATGGAAACGACAAGGATTTAGGGTTATGAATGGATGTTTTCTCTTGAGCTAAAAAGTGGACAGCCTCTCTAAATGTTTTATCTACAGCTAAAAGATGGAAAGCTTCGTAGTAATTGATGTTTGCATATTATACCATGATCCAAAACAATGACATCTAATATGCATCCAATGAGTTATAGTCTCGGTTGACATCTAATATGCAGCCATTCAAATTAAGGGACAGAATCTCACAACAACATTAATGACTCCCAATGAGTCGTTTGCAACAAATTGCTGTATCACACGAACAAGATGATGACGTACAACATCTCTATCGAATACTCACACAGCTCAATGATGCCCTATGAGAGTTAACAAAATGAATTCTTGAATATGGACTATGCCAACGTAACAAAGATCCATAAAAATCTCGCATCTGCAAACTTGGAAGCAATGTGTTTAACAATTTAAAAGAGTATAGAGCAAGCTGAAGCCAAAGCAAACAATATTTAAGAATTTAACAACAAATAACAATCATAGATTTCATGGAAGATATGCAATCGATAACAAGGAGGCAAGCTCCCCAATTATGTTCATCCATCACAATACTCATCTTAATCAACAATGATAAGATTTCCATGTGATAATCCCATCTATGGAACAACAGCAGGAATAAACAAAAAATACTTTGTTATAAAGGAAATCAAAATCCTCACAAATTATATCATTCGAAACCACTAATTAAGCAGAAAAGCTTGACCGATCAAATTAGGGCTTAGTGCGGGGCGGCGGAAGATGGAGCGCCGAGCAGGCTAGCCTGTTGGAGCTCCAGCTCGTTCAATTGAGCCTCTCGGTCCATCTCAATGATGAGGGGAACAACGAGGATCAAAAAAGTTGTTCCGGCAATCCAGGCTGCCTTGCCTGTGCTCCTGAGGAGCTTCTTGACGACGAAACCAGCATCGGAAGCTGCGCGCTTGCCTTTGTAGACGATTGGAGATTCGGATACTGTTGATGAAACCCTAGATAGAACACCTTCGCTGTTGGACTTCTTCGCCGCCATTACTGGCTGAACAAGTAGGCGTCAAGGTTTCGTGATTTTCTCTTTCGAGCTACTGGTTTGAAGCTTTAGTCAATTTAGGGATCATTAGGGTTATTTTGGTTTTGAAACATAGGTATTTTTATTTAAAAGTCTCAAGGTGACAAGGGTTTGTTATGGTTGTGTTATGTTTGACATTAAAGTTGAGAATCTAAGTGAAAAGTTAACGGATAATTGAAAAACAAGATTGTTGTTTGATAAAACTAATCGAAAAATATAAAATGAATTAAAAGAACATTTAAATAAATGTGTTTCTATAATTTAAAATTTTTAAAAATAAACAAAATAACTTCTGAAAAGCTAATCTAAGTAGCTTTTTTTAAAAACTAACTTATATATTTTTTTTTTGTCAAACATAACAACTTAATAAAACTCGAAAAATAAACTAGCTTATCAGTCAGTTGTGGTGCGTCAAACATAGCATTACATTCTCATTCGACCTAAGTGGATTTTTTTATTTCTAATTAGCCTAAATAACTGAGATGACGTTACATTTCTAGTTCAGTGTATTTCAACTTCAAAATGGAAACTTTTTGCATGAAACAATGATGTTAGAGACCTTTTTAAAACCCTTCTTCTGACCTTTTTAAAACCCTTCTTCTGCCCAATATCAACTACATGAAAACCCTTTATGATGCAAACATTTCTTCTAAAAGATGATGTTAGGAGTGTACGAATGTATTTTGGAAAAGATCAAATAGTAAGAGAGTGGTGACCGAGTAAGGAGCTTAACATGTTGTTAACCAACGTTTCAAAAGTCGGTTAACAACATGTTAAGCTTCTTAGTCGGTCACCAGTCTCTTATACTATTCAATATTTTCCAAAATACATTCGTACATTCTTAACATCACCTTTAAAAAAGAAACATTTGCATCAAAAAGGGTTTTCATGTGATTGGTCTTGGAGAGAATAAGGGTTTGAAAAGGGTTTCTAACATCATTGTTTCATGCAAAAATCTTCCATTTTGAAGTTAAAATACACCGAACTAGAAAGGTACATGGATGCCAATGAGAAATCGATGTGTATGTGTGTTCTTATCTTGCATAATCGAGTTCCATAGTGTCACTAACAACTTTGATTTTTCATCTTGAATAGATGGCTTCATCATGCAACCTCATGTTTTGGGGGTTAGAAGTTTTGGGCATTTTAGTAAAAATAAAAAGTTTCTTTAACTTATAATAAATAAATTGAAATAAATAAATAAATAAATGTAAATTATTTTGATTAATAACCATAATAAACATCATTGATAAATCATAAATAAATTTTGATAGCGTTTGGCCATTAAATGAAAACTTTTAAAGTTTAGGGGCTAAAAGTGTCAAGTTGGAGAAGCTTGTGTTTCACCAGAGGATTTGACCAAATGAACATCTAAGATCGAATTTGTATAAGTTAAGATGTGGAAGGACCATTTTTTAGCTAATGTGAGTTTTGGGTGAGCATTGAGACCATTTCTGAAAAGGATTTTTGGAAGAAGGACCAAAACTGACAATTTGCCAATTTTAAGGGGATTGTGATACACTTTTGTTGTTGAACGGTTTATATCAACGTTGTTATGTTGTTATCTTCCCATTTTCACCCATCTTTCTCCCTCTCGCAGTTTTTGCTCCTAATTTATCCTTGAACGAAATTTCTTCACCAATCTCATGGGGTTTTGAAGCTTGAGACTTCTAGATGAATCATTGCTCAAACCTCTTCAACATTTGCATCAAAAGGTAATTTTCTTCCTCTTTTTCCCTAAATTCAAATTAGGGTTTCGATAAGATCATAAATCTGAATTCCATTCTCTATTGGACATGTTTATATGAAATTAATGTAATAGTTTCTGTCCTTAATCCATCTCCAAGCTCCAACCAACAAATGGTTGTGAGATTGGAGTTGTTTTGATGAGTTTTTTTAACCATCAATGCTGAAATCTGGAATTATGTTTAAATTGGTGATCATTTTGAAAATTGTTGATGTGGTTTAACTCCTTGATCTATCTACAAACTCCAATTAACAAATAGAGATTTGTGAGTTTGGATGTGATTTAGTGTGTTTCTAAAACCCTGGGTCTTCAAATCCAAATTTGAAGCTTCAAGAAATTATATGAGCTTAATTTTATGGTTAGATGATACATTCTCTTCAATCACTAATCCATTTGTCAACCTTTTGGCTTATGGTGAGATTCCATGATGTTTGAATCAAGTTCTAGTTCCAGTGGTGGTAATTTGGGTATTTTCATATATAGGATTCATTGATTCAAACTATTGATTGCAAGCAGTGATATGAGCTCGGATTTGTGATCAGATTGTTTATGTTCCTTCAAATACATGACCCATTTGTTAATTCCTAACTAATGGTGAGAATTGTAGAGTTTGATTAAAGTTTAACTTCCATATTATGATTTTGGTATTTTCGAGCCCTAAGTGTTTTAGATCAAGTTTCATAATTCAAAACAGTGATATGAGTTTGGTAGTATGCCTTAAATATGTATTCCATTCTAATATATGATCCAATTGACATCCTTGTCTCAATGTGATATTATGAAATTTTGAATAAAACTTTACTTTAACTTGGGGATTTCGACTTTGTTGATTAAAGATCCATGTTTCAAGCTTGAATTCCCACCTTAAACGCATCCTTCTTGTCTAGTTTTGGTATTCAAGAATTCTTTGAGGAATTGGGAATTAATAAACTTATTTGGTGTCATATATGGGATTCAAATGGTTTGTGAAATTTCTAAAGATATGGAACTTGGAATTTAGTTATTGTAAGGTCGAACCTTATAATATGATGATGTTTGAAATTGATCCCTCAGCATCAGCATGTAATCCAGCGTCAGCATCAGCATCAGTGTCAGCATACAAGTTGTTCAGTATATATATTGTCTTTGATGTAACAGATTTAGTATTTATCTTGTTTCCATAGTTATCATATATTAGTTAGCTGGAACATCCCTGATTTGTAGGGATTGTCTATAATAGTTCTATATAGTCTTTTGTACAGGTTTGTGAAGAGGTTGTCTTTCACAAACCCTAATAGCCGCTTTGTGCGAACAATAATTTCTTTGTGAGATTATCATTCTTAGTGAAACCTCTTTGTGATACTTCATTGTTCTGTTCTTATTATTAGTCATTGTTTGATAAATCGATTGATCTAAGGTCCTCTTAATTGGTATCGGAGCAGGTTTCTTTTATCAAACAAATGGCTTCATCCTCTTCCTCTTCAAACTCATCAAATCATCCTTCTGCTAAAATTCCTCCGTTTGATGAAACCAATTTTGCTATGTGGAAAATAAAGGCTCTCTATGCATTAGAATCTGTAGATGAAGACATGTTGGACATCATCGAAAAAGGTCCATATGTTCCGATGTATCAGCCCCTGAAAAACAATGTTCCTGATGGTGCCATGAAGAAAACACCTAGAGAAAACTGGACAGCAGATGACAAAAGAAAGAATGGTCTCGATGTTCGTGCTCGGGCTGCAATCACCTATGCTTTGCCATACAATATCTTTGGGCTGGTTCAGAATTGCATCTCAGCAAAAGAGATGATGGACACGCTGACTGTATCTTTTGAAGGCATTGAAGAAGTCAAGGCTACTCAAATAAATGATCTAAACAGAAGGTATGAACATTTTTTTGCAAAGAAAGGTGAAACCCTGACTCAAACCTTTAACAGGTTTAATACTCTTGTTAATGATCTGCGGAGACTAGATCAATTGAAGCATCGGACTGTTCTAGTGCAGAAGTTTTTGGATTCTCTGGGTGTAGGTTGGGAGAATCATGTTGATGTGCTGAAAAATAGTGAAAAGATCAACACTATGGACTTACAAAGTCTCTATGGAAACCTGCGATACTATGAGGAATCCAAGCTTCAGAGAAAGGAGCTGATGAAGGATTCTCAGGGTGAGTCATCAGTAGCATTATTCTCAAACAAAAAGCAAGTGTCAGAGTCAGACACTGAAAACCATTCAGACACTGATTCTTCTAAAAGTGACACTGATGATCTTGAAAAGGTTGTTGTGACATCCCCAAAATCACGGCCAGAAAAGACCGATTTTCATTTATGCTTTTAAAATAAATTCAGAGTAAATCCTTTTGATTTGAAAGAGTTGCGGAATTTGTTCCCAAAACAAAACATGATAAAATAATATTTATCAAAGCATTTCATCAAGAGATGCATTTTCATTATATAATTAAAACTCGGGGTGTCATGTTCCGATACAGACCATTAAGCATAAACAATAACATTACAAGTCATTCAACAAATATATACATATACAGACTTGTAAACAAAACAACTTGATGGTTCGTCCATCTTACGCCCTTGCACCACTTCCTGTAATACAAATAAAACTGAGTGGGTCAGGCTTGGGAGCTGGTGAGCATATAGGGTTTTCAACCCACAATAAATAAATTATATTTAATTTCACCAACCAATCACTATCCCGATTACCCATTCCCGTTATCCTCACTTTACGTCCCTAAAACAACATCTATCTCAAGGGACCTAATCTAGGATTTTCATCGGGACGGACATTACTGCTAAGGGGTTTCCTCAACAATAGATATCCTAAAGGCAACCATGAGGGGGATAGAGTACACCGGTGAACACATCGTTCACAACACCTACAGGTTATGAACCTGCTAGCGTTCCACGAGACTGTCTAGAAGGAGTCTGTGGTCGTTATCCATACTCCGCTGAATAACTAGGTCAACAACAACAACATCGAGGCCTCTCATCTGTTTATTACGCACCAACTATCTACCCATGTTCTACCCAACATATTAGTAGATAAAAATATATATTTTTATACATAGTTTAAAACCTGTATATATCATTTTCATTCAATATATATTCCACACAACAGATGAGGCATACCCACATAACACGTATTTCATAGAAAACAAATCAGATCTATGTGATTAAAGAGAGTGAATATACATTCACTTACATAACAACAAAACTATACACATAACA